TTTGAGTTACCAGTCTTAGATTTAAGGTATATTTATGATTAGTGTGTTAGAAGAATTAAAGACAAAATTGATAATTTTGAGAGGCTTGCTAAAGAATGAGATAGAAATTCTAGAAATGAATAACATAAGAATTGATTAAGAACTCAGTGGATGGGTTTAACAACTGAAGGAAAGAATTAATGAAAAAAAGATAAATCAGAAAAAAAAAAAAAAACCAGGCTTAAGCATTGAGAGACAAAAGAATAGAGAATACAGAAAAGAGTGTAAGAGACATATGGAAGATGGTGAAAAGGTCTCATATATAAGTAGTCAAAGTTCCAGAAGGAGAGGAAAAAGAGAATGGAGTAGAAGCAATATTTGACGAGAAATTGGCTGATACTTTTCCCAAACTGATGAAAACCATCAAGTCACAAATCAAAAAAGCTTTATAAACACCAGGAAAAATACAAATAAAATACACCTAGACACATTATAATAAAACTGCTAAAAACCTGAGCCAAAAAATCTAAAAAGAAACTGGACAATAAACGACATTTTACCTTCAAAGGAGCAATGAAACTGATAGCCTACCTTCAATAGTAACAGTGGTATCCAGAAGACATGAAAGAGCATCCATGAAATGATGACCAAAAATAATGGTTAATCTTTATTCAGTGAAAATCGTCTTTTAAGGTGGATAGAAAGTGAAAGTGTTTTCAGGACAAACAAAAACAGAATTTGTAGCCAGGCAGACCTACCTTAAAGGAAATACTTAAGGATATTCTAGGAAATACTTAAGGATATTCTTTAGGCTTAAGGAAGATAATTTCAGATGTGATGAAAAGCATTGGAAAGGGTAGTTGAGTGGATAAATATGAATGGATATTGGCTATATAAAATAATAATAATAATAATGACCTGTGGATTTTATAAGCTCTGTGGAATTAAAGTATATGATAGTAATAGCACATAACTTGAAAAGAGTAAATGGAGTTAGTGTTCTAAGTTCCTTGCATTGTCTAGAAAGTGGTAAAAATACTAATTTATATAACATTTCATGAGTTAGAGATGCATGTTATACTCGCTAAGGTAATCACTTAAAAGAGTAGTAAAAGAATATATATTTGACGAGCTAATTGGGGAGAAAATTGGGAAAATAAAAAATGCTTAAACCAAAAGAGGACAAGAAGGGAAACTAAAGGATTCTGGAACAGGAGAGACACATAGAAAACAAATAGTAAATTACTTTATTATTTATTATAGGACTAGTACTTATTAGGTGAACCATATGAAATTGCCAATATTTGACCTATGATAATAGTAGTTTCATAATTTAAGTGTAAACAGTTCAAATTGGTAAAACCAAAGATTGTTAAAAGGGTTAAAAGGAAGCCAGGTAAATTCTGCATATAAAGGGTCACACATTAAGTGTGAGAATACAGAAAGTTTGAAAGTAGAAATGAAAAAGATATATCATTGCAAATACCAACTCAAGAAATCTGGTTTAGCTATGTAATATAAACTGAACTTTAAGGCAAGTAGTGTTATTAGAGATAAAGAGGGATATTTCATTGATAAAAAAATTCAATTTACCAAAAAGAAAATAAAAAGGATGTTCAAGAATATGCAGTATTATAATTGCATTGATATTTTAAAATGAATAGATAAAATGTTTAGCAGTCCTTATGATTTATAATAAATTTAAAATACTAGTGTTGTCAAACTAATTAGTCTTTGCAGTTATAATTAGTTCCTTTTGTGTCTTAAATCCTCTCTGAGATCTTAAAAGTTCAACACATACTTTTCTAGTTTTTCTAAAAGCTTTAAAGTTTTTTCTCCTCACAGTAAGATCTTTAATTCACCTGAAATTTATTTTCATGTGATGTGTGAGGGAACTTTTATTTTTTTCCAAATGCATAACCAATTTCCTAGTCGTTTTTCTGTTGAACTCTGATTTGTTATGCCACTTCTTGATACTGACTTTCTGGACATGCGTAAGTCTACGTTTGGGTTCTCTTTGGTTCCATTTGGCCATTACTGCCTTTGGTCATCATCATACTATTTTAATTATAAGGTATACTAAGTCTTGATAACACATTGGGTAAACACCATCTACCTTTTGATTTTTTTTTTTTTTTTTCTTTCCAAAATAGGCTTTGCTGGTTTTGGTCTCTTTTTCTTCCATGTGAGTTTTGGGATCAGCTTGTTAATTTCCATGAAAAAGCTTGCTGGAATTTTTATAGGAATTGCAATGAATTTATACACTAAATTGAGGGAGAACTGACATTTTTAAATTGAGTCTTTCTATCTTTAAACTTAACAAAGTTTTCCATTAATTCTGTCTTTTATGTTCTCTTATAAAGTTTTATAATTTTCTTCATGAAAGTCTTACACATCTTTTGTTAGATGCATTCTTAGGCAGTTAAATTTTTATGCCATTTAAATGGCAACAATTAAAATTATATTTTTAAATCATTTATAAAATATTTATAAATGTTGTTTGTTTGTTATATTGATCTTGAATCCAGCAACCTGTTAGACTCTTTTATTGTTTCTAATGCTTTGTCAATTCTCTTAGATTTTCTTCATGGACAGTTATATCATCTACAAATAAAATTTATTTTTTTCTTTCCATTACTTACACTTTTACCACCTTCGTATGCATACCTAAACAATATAGTTTAGAGGGATATCTTTTGAAAAGTAGTCACATACATGTATTCATGTTGTATTTATTTTGTTTCCGGTTTCTTTAGATTAACTTTGGGAGGAGCATCCGCATGGTAGTGTAGTGTGTTGTTATTGCTAATAAATATACCATAATTTACCCACTGTACTGTTAATGGACATAGAGGTTGTCTGCAGTTTTTAGATATTAAACATTTTTTTGTATGTGTATTTGTATTTTTGTATGTGTAATTGTATGTGTATACAATTATGGTAAGAAGGTATGTGTGTAAGACGATAAGGACTCGACTCTTTACTCATTGATGTGGCAAATTATCATTATTGAGGAGAGTCAGAACCAGGAAGAGCATCCTTGCTTTTTGTCCAGTGCATTACTTAGCTAATGTTAATGTCATAAGGACATTGGCACTTGTTTATAATGGAATATTTATTAAGGAGTGGTGGTCACTAGGCATAGCTCTATTCAGAAGGAGAAAAAATAGGGAGATATCTTGCCTCAACTTCTCCCAGTTACACTAGGCTTCTTTAACTGAATCCACTGGTGTCACCTCTATTATCAACCACACTATCCACCTCCCTCCTCATCATTCCGTCTCCCCTCTCCCTTCTCCATACACCCAACAACTCTGGGAGTCTCAGGGAAAAAGGAGATAGTCTTTGTACTGTAGTGAGAATAATCCAGGGGTTTTATCTTAAGAGTGGAGTTTCACTAGAAGAGTGCTGGCATGCGTGGTCAGGTAGAGATGGCAGAGATAATGGGTACCAAGACCACCTGCCCAGAGTCATATTTCCTGGGGCGAATACTGAACACTTGCATCCTTTTACCTGGGCCCCTACTTCTATCTCCTGTTCCCTAAGAGGCCTTGCTTTCCCTTTGTGACATGTTACATTTTTCTAAATGTGTCAGAATAAAGTTGGGAGTGCCTTTCAAGGTGAAATGCCTGCCTTCCTTTCTTTCTCATATGAATAGAAGCTACCCTTTACCTTCTCTTTGGTTCATATTGCATACATGTTAGGAGATGTCCACATTTATAATGAAATTTCTATGATTTTGGGGATGTCCCTTTACTTGGAAAATCTTATTTCACAAGTGTTTCTAAAAGTTCTCCATTTATTATATTAAATATTTTAATAAGTTTAGATTTATACATATGTCACCATATTTCCAACAGTTTTCAATGAGACCATATTCTTTCCTGTATTTTATCTATTTATCTATCTATCTATCTATCTATCTATCTATCTATCTATCTATTTTTATTATGGTTACATTGGTTAAATCATGAAAGATAATTTTCTTAGATTTTCTCCTAAAGCTTTATAGATTTGCCTTTCACATTTAATTCTATTACCCGCCTAGGATGGTGGGTTTGGGTTTTTTTCGTGTGTGTGGTATAGTGTAAGGTGAGTGTTTAGCTTGATTTTCTTTTTTTCTTGGATATATTCCCAATCGTTTCACTACTATTTTTGGAAAAGACCGTTCCTTTGTGATAAGTCAGCGGGGTTTATACTTGTGTGGGTCTGTTTCTAGACTTTTCTGTTACACTAATTTGTCTTTTCCAGATACAGGAAAATCCATATAAATGGAAGGTATGAAGTAAGATGGTAGGAATAGACAAAAAGCATTGGTCATTATAGCAAATACAAAATGGACTAAACTTACCAGTTAAAAAGCAAAGATTGTTACATTGGACTTTAAAAATCTACCTCTATGTTCTTGAAAGGAGACTCACATAAAACAGAAGAAGGCAGAAAAGTTGAAAGTAAAGGTAAAAAGAGTTACTAGGGAAATTCTGAGAGACCTGCATTTATATGAGAAGGAAAGGTGCGTCCGTTCAACTCCATGCTTTGCTAGGTCCAAGGCCTCCCTGCTCCTACCCTCTACTGGATTTTAAAAGTCCAGGCCCCTGAATCACTGAGATTTCCCTCTCAGGGCAGCCATGTTCTTTGTTTTTGCCCTTGGGAATTTTCTTTATTCTCTTGTGAGGTAAGCCATGCATTTAAAAGGAATTTGCTCTATTTCACCTAGCAGTTTTTAGGCATTTGTGTGGATATCTCCCCAACCCCCAGCCCCAGTCATTTATTCTATTATGTGTTGTCTGAATCAGTAGTTTCTCATATGGTTTTAAGAACCCACCCTTCTAGAGGGAACCACTAAAAATATAAAATGATTGCCTAAGGGGCAGTGGGGTTATGGATCATTTCTTATATTCTTAACCATTTTTATATTTATGTAAAAGAACAGATTTTATAACTTTTTAAATTTAAAAAAGGAAAAGGAAATTGTCCTTAAGATCCTCCAAGTAATAGCCCTTCTTTTCCATTTGTTGCAGGTGGTGCGGTTGTGTCAGAACCCAAAGCTGGCGCTAAAGAATAGCCCACCTTATATCTTAGACCTGCTGCCAGATACCTACCAGCATCTCCGCACTATCTTGTCAAGATATGAGGGGAAGATGGAGACACTTGGAGAAAATGAGTATTTTAGGGTGTTCATGGAGAATTTGATGAAGAAAACTAAGCAGACCATAAGCCTCTTCAAGGAGGGGAAAGAAAGAATGTATGAGGAGAATTCTCAGCCTAGGTAATGGAGAGTACTACACAAATAATATATTCAGGCTGACTGCCCAAAATGGTGACACTTAGAAGTAGTTGAGTTGGTTTTAATTTTATATCAATAAGAAACTCAGGGTTGACATTTGATTTAAAGGTATGCTTTTACATTAGAGGTTGCCTTGGAGGATATTAAATCGTCCCTAGCTTTGTTTATCTTTGAAAAGTCAGTGAGTTATAGCCATGAAGATGAGAGGCACTAGGTCCTTTTAGAGAGCCCGAAGATCATGAAAATTTGTGGATAGGTGAGAGTTTGAAAGAAAGAGGTTAGAGTAAAGCTGAGTTTGGGAGTAAATAATAAGAGATCAGATTTTTCCAGAGCTATACCATATTAGGTAAATTAAAAATATGGGATCATAGGGAAAAAAAAATTAAGCCAGTAGTTTAGATAACTTTTTTTTTTTGTTAAAGGAAAGTGAAATGACATTTCTTTTATAGGTAAAGGATATTGGCAAATGCAGTTAATTCAATTAATATTTGAGGGACCACTATATATTCTTTTGTACTTATTAAATACTAAGAACTATATTGGCTATCTTATGTTATTAGCTTGGTTGTTGAAAATTATGTACCGGGAGAGAAATAGGTTGATTTTATGTATGGGTATTGTGTTTGGTTTTGTCCATTTGGAAATAAATATTAACTTATCTAGAACAAGTAAAAAAATGTAAATTTCACTAGAACTTCTTAGGGAATAAATTACTCTCAAAGGGTGACTTGAATTAGGGGGGGGTGGTAATTTCTGAGAGCATTAAGTTGGCATGTGTTACTCAAGAAGTAACTAACTAAATGGTATTCTTGTAGCCTACCACTTTAACTCTCTCTGTTGGTTTAGATTCTGGGAACCCTTGTCTCTCACTTAAAAATTTACCCCCATCATTATTCATATTACCTTTACCTACCACATTACTCAGGTTTGGTCCGGGGTATCAGTCTTTTCTTCTTAAAAAGATTTCTGGCAACTGAATTTGATGTATAGGAGCCTTTGTAACTTTTAGCTTATATAAAATTAAACTTGATTCCTTTTAATTATTTCAATTTCATGACTTTTGTTAAAACCTTGACTCTATGGACCTTAGCTAAATAGTCATTTTGTATTGCTGAGTTTTAAGAAAATAATTTTACTTTATTAGGTACCAGAACTTTAAAAATTTATTTGCCATCTACAATGAACTAGAGTCTGTCTAATTCTAGGAGGTAAAAAAGAGAATTAAGCATTCAGTTATGATGTGATAAATGCTTTAATAGAGATATGTGCAAAATGCTGTGTGAACATAGTTTTGCCTAGCTACATCAGGAAGAGTGGCACAGAGGAAGTGTTATTTGAGCTAGAGTTTGAAGGGTAAGTAGGAATTTTCTAGGCAAAGAGTGGAGAAAAGACCTTCATCACTGTGGCATGAAAATGCAGAGGCCCTGCATGTTTAAGGAACATGAGCAGTCTGATTTGGCTATAATTGGTGGAGATAGATAAGCTAGAAATACAGGTTGGAGTTAGATTGTAAAGAGCTGTTCTTTGATCTCTAGACCTTCTATAAATAATAGGCTGCCATAGAACAGTTTTTCTGAAAAGAGCATTTTTATAGTGAAATAAAAATTACAGACCTTCTGGTATTAGAGCATACTGAATATTGTTTAACATTTTTTTTTTGTGACTGTTGATAGTTTCTTACATAGAGGCAGTGTAGTATACTGGTTAAGAGGTTGGACTCTGAAGCCTACTGCCTGAGCTATGTGACCCTTCAGTTTCCTCAACTATAAAATGAGATAATAATAGTACTTTCCTTGTAGGGTTGTTGGGAATTATTAAATGGATAACTAAATGTGTAGTACTTAGAGCAGTGGTTAGCACGTTGAAAGTGACAAATGGTAAGTAAAGGTAATATGTGACTTTCATTACTGTAAATGTAGATTATTTTATCAGTGATATCACTAGGAACTAATGAAATATATACACCAATTTGCCTTTACTAAATGGCTTCATACTATGCTTGCAAGTTCTTTTGCCTTTCTTAAAACTACTGTCAGTATGCCTGTCTGTATCAATTTCACTCCCCCTAATATGAAGCTTTTAATCTACTGTGGGCTTTGAATTCATATAACCAGGTTTGTACAAATTATATGTAAAGTGAGAATAAATTTCAGTTGAGAATCAAATTTTTAAAAAATGAAGTATGGCTTTACTATATGGCTTTTACTATGTCTTTACTATATGATCTTTATGATCTGTATTTTGGTTGCTTAGAGGCTTTTGTTCCTATTCAGTTTTTTAAATTGAGATATAGTTCACTGAAATACCGTAAAATTCATCCTTTTAAAGAATTGTATACTTTATGGTTTTTAGTGTGTTAATAAAGTTGTGTAAACATCAGCACTGTCTCATTCCAGAACATTTCCATCACCCCAGAAAGAAATCCCATACTCATTAGCAGTCACTCCCCATTCCACACTCCTGCTCTCTCTACTCCAGCCCTTGGCAATCACTAATATCAACTTTCTGTAGATTTACATGTTCTAAAAATTTCCTATAAGTAGAACCATGTAATAGTAGCCTTTTTTTGTCTGGCTTCTTTCACTTAGCATGTTTTCACAATTTATCCATGTTCAGTACTTCATTCTTTTTATGGCTAAATAATTTTTCATTGTATGGATATGTACCACATTTTGATTATGGATATTTGGGTGGTTTCCATTATTGACTATTATGAAGAATACTGCTATGATCATTTTTGAACAAGGTTTTGTGTGACTATATGTTTTCAGTTCTCTTGGGTATACACCTAGGAGTGGAATTGCTGGGTCATATGGTAATTTTACGTTTAATTTTTTGAGGAACCACCAAGCTGTTTTCCACAGCAGCTATACCATTTTGTATTTCCCTAGCAATGTATGAGGGTTCCAATTCCTCATCAATAGTTGTTATTGTTTTTTTCTTTATTATAGCCACCCTGATGGGTGTGAAGTGGATAGCTCATTGTGGTTTGGATTTTCATTTCCTTAACGAGTAATAATGTTAGTATCTTTTCATGTGCTTATTGGCCCTTTTTTTGAGATGTGTTGTCTTTATTGTTGAGATGTAAGTGATCTTTACATTGCTAGATACTAGACTCTTATCAGATATATGATTTAAAAAACTTTACTCCCATTCTGTGGGTCTTCTTTTCACTTTCTTGATAGTATCATTTAAAGTACAAAAGTTTTTAATGTTGATGAGGTCCAATATTCTTTCTTTGGTTACTTGTGCTTTTGATATCATACCTAAGAAATCATTGCCTAATTCAAAGTCAAGATTATGCCTATGATCATTTTAAGTTAACTTTTTATGCCCTATATGGTATATAGTGATAGGACTTGCGTTGGACCTGTAGATCAATTTGGGGAGTATTGCCATCTAAACAATACCAAGGCTTTCAATCTATGAACATGGGATGTCTTTCCATTTATTTAGGTCTTCTTTAACTTCTTTCAGCAGCATTTTGTAGTTTTCAGTGTACAGGTCTTTTGCCTTGGTTAAATTTATTCCTATTTTGTTCTTTCTGATGCTATTATAAATACAATTGTTTTCTTAATTTCATTTTTGGATAGTTTGTTGCTGCTGTATAGAATACATTGATTTTTGTATGTCGATCTTGTATCCATCAACTCTGCAGAACTCATTTACTGGTTGGTTCTGTTAGTTTTTTAGTGGATTCCTTAGAATTTTTTACAAACAAGATCATGTCATGTGCAAATAGTGATAGTTTTACTTCTTCCTTTCCTTTGTGGATGCCTTTTATTTCTTTTCCTGCCTAACTGCTCTAGCTTGAATCTCATGTTGAATAGGACCTTATGTTGGATAGAAGTGGTGGGAGCAGACATTCTTGCCTTGTTCCTGGTATTAGGAGGAAAGCTTTCAATCTTTCCATACCATTGAGTATGATGTTAGTTGTGAAATCTGTTTTTTTCCCCCTAGGTTTTAAAACTTTATTTGCATATTAAAAATTGTGCATTTCAGTAATTAAAACCATTTGAACAACAACAAAATGGTACTCTGATTTAACTACAGTTTACAGCCTGCAGGACACCTTGGACTAGCTTGGATTTTACTCTAGATTTCACTGCCGCCACTCAGATTCTGCCTCCACCAACATGCATGTTTTTTTCCTTTCCCACTAGCCACACAGGCAGATGGGAGAGACAGGGGTAGCCTTCATTGTCAGTAGTTCTTTGATGTGAAAAAGGGCAGCACAGTCATTTAAACTTGATCCAACCTCTTTGCATCTTTTTTTTTTCTTGTCTGCGGTACCCGGTCTTCCTAGGTGGTCTCCCATCCAAGTACTAACCAGGCCTGACCCTGCTTAGCTTCCGAGATCAGGCGAGATCGGGCATGTTCAGGGTGGGATGGCAGTAGACTCTTTGTATCTTACAAAGTTAAACAGCTAAAAGAAGTAAAATAGAATGGTAATGCTTGTGGAATATAAAGTGCATGTTGGCGGTACGTGCCTCATTACGATTCGCCTACTTGCTTCTCTACTTCAGTCGTTTCTTTTGAAGTCAGTGGATTTTTCTCTTGCGTTTCTGTCTTCAGTTTCAACTTATCAAATTTCTCAATCTCAGCCACGTTGGTTTGTCATACTTGGTTGCAGAGGAAGCTGAGTGAGGCACACGAACGAGTGAGTTGGATCTGCCCAGTGGCAGTTGCAGAGTGCCAGTTGCGACATTTTCATGGACATCCTTCACGAGGTTGAGAATGTTTCCGTTTATTTCTTGTTTGTTCGATTTTTTTCTTTTTATCATGAAAGGTCTCATAGGACTTTTGTGCTTGGTTCCTGATTTTTCTTCTTGGAAGAAAGAAATTTGTAGACTTGTAAAATTCTAGTAAAAGTGACTATCTTAAATTGGAACAAGGGCAAGAATATAAGTAAGCCTCAAGAATAACTGAAACCAGGGTTGAAAATGCTGCCAAGACTCTATCTGCTATCTGCATTCTCTCAA